CAAATCTAGTGATTATCTAGTGGTCTTACCTTCACCCCAGATCACTAGACAGAGATCAGTCACACAATGAAAAAATCAGATCAGGTGGAAAAAGTTTTTGCTTTAACAGAAAACAAAACGAACAAAATAAATTATTCATACCATCAATGACATACTTAAGTATATTTTGATTCATATAGAACAAGAAGAAAAAAACAACATTTTTGAGATCGTACAAAAACAGCCAAAGACATAACCGTTAGAAACTGATTCCAGTTATAACTAGTTTTTCTATTAAAACTTGTCTCTAGTAGAAATGGAATTTTGGATGCGTCCTCAACCTCAACCACCAGATTTCACCATTTATTTGAAAATATTCACCAAAATGAACACCATCCACTAGATGCCATATTATCTTGTCACAAAACGAGAACTCAAACCACCAGTTCCAGTGTGAAATCCACTAAGTTGGCAACACTAGTTTGTCCTAAGAATGATTAGTATTCGGTTATTATTACATATTGAAAATTTCAGAAAAATTACTCGACCGGCCTACTATGATTTCTCTACGTCACAACGGGCGAGACGTTGATTCTACATTTTCCCGCTAGTTGGTGATGCTGCTATTGCTGCTGTGACAAGTGGAAATAAAATGGCAAATGGCATTTTAGGTACGCGAAACATAAATGTAACAGTGGGATTGAACAACTCTGAATTCGAAAAATCTGCGACAATTTCGAAACTGACAGAAGTCATAATTGTCGCCATCTATTAGAAGATCAACGGAACCATTGCTCTCGCTGCTCTCGAGAGGTCGAGTAAAATTTCTGAAACAAAAGCGCATCAGTAATTACACCAAATCTTACCTTCCATCATTGTCCCAAGTATTTGCGACATTTTATGTTTGGCAGCTGGCAACACTGAATTGCCAGGATGCTTCTGCTGGCACTGCTGCATCAATAGTGGTATCTAGAGACAGGGTGCAACAAATAATCTACGAGGAAGCAATACAGAAAATTAACATAATTGAACTAACTAATCACTATCGGTCTCAACAGTAAATGCCTCCACACTACTTTTTTCAGGGAGGAAAAGAAATCTGCCTCCTGCATATGAAAGAATACTACTTTTTTTAAACCATAATCTAACGATCCTTATACTCAGCCTCAATGAACCTTCTTCCTAAAAAGTATATTTTTCGGAAAATTACTTGATGAATCAGAATGAAAAAAGCCGACCATCGCAGGCATCTTCTCCAATTGTTCACTTTGCAAAGGAAAAAAGGAAAAACGAGTTGGTGGAATACGGGATTCGAATCCGAGGACCTTTATCGCATATCTCTGAAGCAGGTACGCTACCCACTAGCCATTGTGTTTCTTACGAACTTTTGTGCAAAATGTAGAATTATCCTCACCACACGGATCATTTGTTGCTAAATTTATTTTTTAGTTATTAGTTTATAGGAAGTTTATCTCGGCCGAGTTAGGTTAGATTGTTAATAAAAAGTAGTCTCTTCTCTCGTGCAGAATAGTACCTATATATTGTTTAAGGAGTACGGAATGATGTGTCATTTTCCACGAGAATGGAAATTAGCAATCCGTGCGAGTTATACACTATACTTTTTCTATGGCTGTAACAGATAAACGCGATTTTTTTATTTCTTCGGCTTGTAGTCATCTGATTTCCTCTTAAGTAATGCGAATTTACTAGACAGAGCTGTATTCTTATATTTTACTTCCTAATATTTGCTTAGATATTATTATAAGCGGCAGCACCAGCGTACAGCGGCATTCTCCTGTCATGATCCACTTGGCATTAGCTCTCAAGATATAGTACTTATAGCGAATTCCATTTGGTAGACCTGGCTCGCATTGAGTGCATATTTTGTATTCCATTGGTAAAACTGGTGGCAAGTTTTGAATTATATTGGGAAACTGGTGCACTCAGTTTAGAGCACAGTGCAACAATACTTGCACGAGCTCTAAGGGTGAAGACACACGGAGCGGTTTTCGCCGACTCGGCAGCCGAATGCATGAAGACACACGGGTTGTTGCTGATGCGACACGCAAAACGAATACAATGTGGTGTTGTCAGTTGGTCAGTTCCTGTTCAAATTCGCAATAGTGTCCGAACGGTATGGAGTCTGATTCTGAGGAGGATTTCTTAATATTAGTGGACTAATTTCTGTCGTTCGGAGAAAAAAAGAAACACACCCACACCCTACCCAATTGTCGAGGAACGAACTGAGAAAAGTTTGATTTATACTTTATCGTATCTAATGATGAGATCGAAAGAGATGACGAAAACTCTTCAGTTTTGTATACGAATGTCAAAAGATTATATATTTAATAATGGATAGCATTATTTCTATTCTCACAGACAGTTTCTAATGCGTTGGAACCGACTTCAGCTGAGGCAAGAGCGACAAAAGAAATAACTTATCATCGTCTTCTGGAAGATTTTCAATTTCTCTTTTTTTTTTTCGAATCGAGCTGCGTTTCTGTCGAGTGCTATGATTAATTTTGCGACAACTAATAGGATTTTTGTTTTCTTCCAATTTGTGGAACCACTGTGACAGTTTCCGTTTGTGAATTCGCACACTATGCCGATGTGGTATTTTGCAACGAATTAATTTTTCACAATCAATGAGAGCCATCATGGATCAGTCAACTTGACAACAATGTTTGTATTGCACCGCTCAAAAACCGCTCTGTGCTCGTGTGTTCAATCGCACTTGACAAAACAGTCTGAGTAGCCGCTCAAAGCAATAAAAACGCGTTCGGCATATCATCCAGACGACCGTACGCGCGGCAGCAGCGCTGCCCAATGTTGCGTCTGTTTTATGCCATAAAGATGCGACAGCTCGTGTGTCGTGTGCCGACTCGGCCGCTCCGTGTGTCTTCACCCTAAATAGATCGTGCGAACTCGGTGCCCAGATAACACAAAGACGTTTTGATAACCTTCTGAGGACGTCCTAATAATGTCCTTAGGATGTTGAGAGGCATCCGCAAGACGTCTCTAGGACGTTCACCTGTCACCATTATTTTGTATATCGTGAGGACTTTTCAGAACATCCCAATAATATCCTCCAGAGACGTCCTGAAGTCTCAGGAGCTTTCTGAGGAGGTACTAAATGATGTATTTAGGATGTAGAGAGGCATCCGCAAGACGTCTCTAGGACGTCCACCTGTTACCATTATCTACATCCTGAGGACGTCTCAGAACATCCCAATAATATACTTCAGAGACTTCCTGAAGACGTCAGGCGCTTTCTGAGAACGTACTAAATGATGCACAAGATGAACATGTGACGATTTGAACTTTAAAAAAAACTTAGTTCTTCAATGTTAAACCTCATCAGGGCCAGATTTTTCTGGAAATATATTTCTGTTCATCAACATCGATTGATATCCATCTCATCTCGAACTCGAACACAAGTGACACAGGGTACAGACACTACAGACATCGGACGACATATCGGTCACAGTTATCGGTTCAGGACGGAGTGATGAAACAAATCCATTTTTATCGTGTTTTTTTCAACTCTTTCATAATTCTCATTAATCCCATTTTCAAATTTACATTTATATCCCAAATGAAAATATATAGTTTGCGAGGACAGTAGCCTCGAAAAAGAGTACTTGTACCATCTTGTACTATAAAAAGAGTACACGGTCATCCTACACATTTGGTAACATTTTGCCAAGATAATAACATGATATATACTACCCTAACAACACCAGTACATCCTAGGGACTTCCCAGGGACGTCCCTGATTTTTTACTGGGACATCCCATGGATGTCCTTTGTCGGGACAACGTACATACTAGGGATGTTCCAGGGACATCCGCTGGCCGCCAAAAGAGGCATCCGAGGGATGTCCTTCTGGTACGTCCCTGGGATGTACCAAGTACGAAGAAAGGATATCCCTAGGACGTCCCAAGGACATCCCAGGGACATCCCTTCTATGAAAGGAAAAAAAAGCAGGTCGAGTAGGGATTGAACCCGGGACCTTTAGCTTATCAGGCACGCACCTTACTCCATTGGCTATTATGCCTCCTGAAGATTTATGTACTGAACAGATTTATAAACAGAACTTAACTATAGAAACCTTAATAAATACAACTTTGTTAGGATTTGGGTATAATTATAATCATTCTTGGGTGTTTAAAAATGAGGGACAATATGCATGTACGATTTCTGTTTGCGAAAAATGGTCATTTCTTTACTAGTTCTGAGACTTTATTCTTTATTTTCATTACAATTATTTTCCGGAAAAAAAAAACAAACATTTTCAAATAAATTCAACTCACTAGTTTGATGGAATTCAATGACTCTGATGTGAATGGATATCTGATATTCCAGGGACACGAATAGGATATCCTAGGAATTGGTGAAGCAGAATCTGAAATTAAACGTGAGCAAATGTCATTCACAACGAAAAAAAAATCGTGACTTTTTATGGCTCAGTTGCCTTGGTTTTGTTATTTATTTTTCATCCTGAAATGAAGTAAATAATCATAACAATAATATTGATCAGATAATTAATAATATTGAATTGATAGAACTGGCGGTGATGAAAATTGATCCTTATTCAATACTTGAAGAGAAAAATCAATCTTCAACAAGAAAATAATGAATTGAACAGTATACCTATCTACTATTCTGATGTGGATTCACGAAAAAATCATGAAAACATTATCATAACTTCCATATTATTACAGAATGTTTCATATTATTCTTCTATTTTTACTATTTTCACATACGGATGGCTTCTTGTAACGCAAAAAGCTGAATATTTTCAGCTTGTTTGGTTGTTAATGCCGCTTAATTCTTATTTTCTCGTTTTATGGTATCAAATATTGGATATTTTTGGAAGACTATATCGATACTATCGATAGTTCCATCGATAGTTTGCCACCTCTAGTTGTGGGATTCACATGGGACATGGGATTCACAGACGCAAACTGCGCAAACAAATATGAAAATAAGTAGACATAGATTCCAGAGTCGAGACTCGTGCTTTTTGCTCTTTGAGAAATTTCCTAGATTCCTAGTAAGCACCTAAACTAGAAGTTCAGTACCTATAGTGCATTGTGTAACTTGTACATTTTAACCGTATTCTGAACTTTCGATCCAAATGGAGAAAGTAGTTGAACAGGTCGAATTGGTCGAAAGTGTTTCAAGGAAGGAATTGAAAGAGTTCAGTCCAGTGGAAATTGAGAAGAATTCTTCAATCGTAAGAGGTTTATTCTTTTATAGCAAGGCACTTTACCATTGGAATCACACTGACTATGATACTCCATATACTATGGTCGAATTAGAGTCATATTCCAGCGAAAAAAGTGATATCTTGGAGGATTTCAAGAAAAACTCGTCAGCAAAAGTGCATAAGATCATGAGAGTCCAGAATCCATTTCTCCAACTCCAATACGAGCTCAAACTGAAACAGAAGGAAGAACTTAACACTGGTATCAAGGAAACTCAGGTCTACCATGGCACGAAAGAGTGTAATGTCACGTCCATTTGCCAGAAAAACTTCGATTGGCGTAAACTTGGAGCTAGTGGTTATAGATCAAGCAAATTTGGCCAGGGAGTTTCTTTTTCATCATCTTCCTCGTATGCTTCGGATTATCCAAGACGCCATTATGATGATCCAAGAGTAATGTTTTTGGCGAGTATAATGGAGGTGTCCAGATGCGAAGGTGATGATGGTATGGTAATACCTCCCTTACCTCACGATACCTCTGCGGACCTCATGCATGATAATGTGGTGGTGAAATATTTCGATAATGAATTCTATCCAGCATATATCATATATTATACTCCCAAATAGTTCCAGTGATATTACTTTATTTTGGTAAGGAGTTAGAATTTATCGGGTGTGTATAATTTGCGGACTGGAATAAAATATTGCAGACTGGCTATTTCCATCAAACTTTTCGATGTTTTTATTGCATATCTGGATTCAGCTCACCGATATACACGATGAGAAGTTTCAGTTTTTTTTCTATGACCCCCCTGGGGAGTACTTTACTCTTGTGTTTTTTCATAAAATCTTGCGGACTGTGGGTATTTTTAAGAATCAAATCATCTCAATTTCACCATAAATCGATTCATCTCATGAAAATACAGGATGAAAAGTTTCTGAATTTTTTCCCCAGCCCCCCTGGAGAGCACTTTACTCATGTGTTTTCTCATAAAATCTTGCGGACTGGGTATTCTTGAGATGAGTCAAATCATCTCAATTTCACCATACATCGATTGATCTCATGAAAATACACAATGAAAAGTTTCGAAATTTTTTCCCCAGCCCCCCTGGGCAGCACTTTACTCGTGTGTTTTCTCATAAAATCTTGCGGACTGGGTATTTTTGAGAGTCAAATCATCTCAATTTCACTATAAATCTATTCATCTCATGAAAACACACGATGAAAAGTTTTTGCATTTTTTTCATAGCCCCTCTGGGGAGCACTTCACTTTTGTTTTTTTTTCATAAAACCTTGGGGACTGGGTATTTTTGAGAGTCAATTCATCTCAATTTCATCATAAATCGATTCATCTCATGAAAATAAAGTTTTCGAATTTTTACCCCAGCCCCCCTGGGGAGCACTTTACTCATGTGTTTTTTCATAAAATCTTGCAGACTGGGTATTTTTGAGAGTCAAATCATCTCAATTTAACCATAAATCGATTTATCTCATGAAAATATATGATGAAGAGTTTTTGAATTTTTTCCGCAGCCCCCCTGGGAAGCATTTTACTCGTGTATATTTTCATAAAATCTTGCAGACTGGGTATTTTTGAGAGTCAAATCACCTCAATTTCACTATAAATCAATTTATCTCATGAGAATACACGATGAAAACTTTTTGAAATTTTTCCCAGGCCCCCCTGGGGAGGACTTTACTTTTTTTTTTCCATAAAATCTTGCGAACTGGGTATTTTTGAGAGTCAAATCATCTCAATTTCACCATAAATCGATTTATCTCATGAAAATACACGATGAAAACTTTCTGAATTTTTTTCCCAGCTCCCCTGGGGAGCACTTTACTCTTGTGTTTTTTCCTCGATTTTTTCATAAAATCTTGCGGACAGGGTATTTTTGAGTCAAATCATTCACAAGAGTACCACTTTGACTGAGAAGTGTCAGGACGAATACAAATTTGCCATAAAATAATCCATTTTTTTGTTGAGAACGGGAGCAGATTTGTTCCCAAAACGTCCAAAGATGAGTGAAAATTTGATATTTTTTCTATATACCTTTATTTCGGTTTTCTAAACTTTTTCAATACAAATTGTCACTGACAAGCTAGTGAATTTTTCTTTTTGGCTCTCTGATAGGAAAATTCTTTGAACGCAGTGACATTTTGGGGCAAATCACCTGATTTGACCTCATAACACGTATATCGAAATAATATTCATATTTTTATTTTATAGAGACGAGTAGAGAACATTCCAAAAAATGTGGAATAATGAATATACTTTGTATTTGAAATAAAAAATTGAATGTACTTCCGGTCATATTTAGTCTGATACTTACAAAAGCATAGTCATGCAATCAAATCGATGTACCAAATTTGAAAAATTCATTCAAAATAGCAACGAAGATACAGGGGTCTAAATTGATACCGCGGGTTACCCCCAACCAACATTTTAAGAGAATTATACCAAGCAGAGAGGAGAAATGACTCGAAGAAGTCGAAATTTACTAATTTCCGACAAAATATTTTACCTTTATGCCCTGAGTAACTAGAAAGTTATGGATTAGGTTGTAAAATGCCTAGTTAGGACCTCAACATTTTCTATAAAAACCATCAACTTTATAGACAAACTGCAATGTTGGAAACTACTCATTACAGACTTCAAACATAACTTCATGGTCCTAGTGAGCATTTAGTTATCAATTGGGTAATATTTAACATCAGAATTACCCTCGGAATTACCAGTAAAATGTCTTCAAGGCCCTCGAACTATCAGGATATTTATTGGAGTTGAAATTTACCAAATTCTAGCTTCATAAACGTTCATGTAGTCAGGGAATAATCAGATGGAGGAAATAAGTCGGATTTATACTCAGTTTTGCCTATTTTTGACCAATTGAATCGAAGGAGTTTCTTGGACTTTTTTTAACCAAATCAGCACCAACTTCATATCCGATGAAGGCAAGATTACCACTATGAAATCCTTATAGAACGAAGTGTCCCTGAGAGAGCCGAGAATACCAAAATTAGTCCTAAAATCATGTTCTCAAAGTTGATGGCTATTATTGACCCTGGTGCTTTGAGGTCGGCAAATATTTCGAAATGATCATTAATTTCTGAAAATATCAAAAAACTAGAGACAAGCGCAATGTATGAGTTTTGAATGTTGTATTCTTTATTACCAGTGAGTGGTTCAGGTAGCTCACTGCTTGAACGCTTCTAAAGCAAATCATGATATCTTTCTATATACATTACGATGATGTTTGATCAACTAAACCAGCGATTTGTTTTGACATTCGAAGTTTTACTTCCACTCATTCCATTGGTCAGATCAAAATGCATATTTCAGATAACTTTTATAAAAAAAAAAACATGTATCAATTATTACACTTCGGTTGAGAACGTACAAAAATCGCAAATATACTAAAGATGTACTAGAACGGCAACACTGTTTGAGAGATGACAACACGGCGATGGACTTCTCTGATTCGCTGAAAAATAAAGCCTGTCATTCAGCGACCAATTAGAAAACATACCGTGTTGCATAATAAGAAATTGAAGGCGAACAACAAACATTTGACAAATTATATGATTATAGGAAACATCTTATAATATTAATTCATCAGGTAGACTGCTACTCACATAATATACTCGTTGATATAGTCTAAAATCCCAATATGGGGAAATAATTCGAAAACAAAGAATATCATCCAGTATTTTTCTACAAATCCAATAATTTCGTGGGCCCACTAATTTTACATGAGTAAAATCAACAATATCACAATAAATTTTGCATCGCAGGTTGAATAACGATTCAAAACAACCTCAAATGAGCTAAACAACATGCATATTATCTACACCTTCCACTACTATCAAGTTTTCTTTTGAACACCATGTTCATAAACTCCTAAGTCTCCACACGTAAATGAGTAGGTATAGGCGATCGTGAAACACGGTACATATTTGTTTTCCGAACCCAACCAAATGACAGTAAACCAGGTAGAAATCTTAGTAAACCCACCCATGAGTAGGTAATGAATAACGTCAGAATAACTAAAATCAGACCACTATCGGACTAGAATTAGGGCAATTTCACCTAATTGTTTACTCGACCTATTGGTCAGGATACCCTAATATACCTATTCTCGTCTTCTGAATTACTTCCAGTTTTTTCCCTATATTGGTAAATTTGAAGTAAATAAGATGTAATATTCACTTTGGCCAAATAAGTCGTTGACCTATTCTAAGGTCGAAATGACGTATATTATACCTAAAATGTTTGTTGGGGCCTGGTTATATATAGGTCATAAAATAAAATTAACATGTTCATTAGCTGGTGAATAACGATTTTATTTTTTATTTTAGCATCATACTGTACTTTGAAGAGGAAGTGGAATTTCGTATCAGAATACATGCAAATTATTAAAAATCCTGAGATGAATAAATAGATATAAGGATACCTACCTACCTACACGATGAAAAAATGTGAAAGTGAGAACGGTCATCTTCATCATAAGTAAAAAAAATGGAATATAATAGATATATAAGTCCCTATATTTCTTGAATGTACACCTATCCATCTCACTATTATATTTAATTCTATATCATACAGGGTGTTCCAATTTTTATTGGAAACTGAGTATCTGTTGTGGGTATGAATAGGTTATATGTTTCAAACAAGCAACAGTAAATACTCAGAATATTCATCACCACTGTATGTCAATTTCTATACTACATGTTTCTCATGCGAAATATCAAAGAAAATCTCAGACCAAATTTTAGATTCAATACTTCGCATCTTGATTATGTCGAATTTCAGGTCAAAAACACTGTTCTAATCAACCTAAGGAACTGGACGACCGTGTATATATTGGATTCACTAGTATTTCATCTGAATGAATTTCTAGTTATGGCTCCTTACTTTGAATGCAAAATATCGAGAACATAAAGATAACCGACAAAAATTCCAGGCTATTTTTAGAAAATGATTTTTTATTGTTTGGTTATTGGATATTCAATATTATGTCTTTTATATGTATGTTGGTGAGTTTTATTTCTAACTATTACCGTAGAATGGGGATACTTGGAACTGCAAGGTAAATTGGAACAAAAACTTCGTATTTTCAAATTACCTCTGATTGCATTTTGAAACATCGTATCATGCATAGATGTTCAGAATGGTTATACAGGCTGATTCATGGTGGATGGCACATTATACGTTTCTGGAGAACGAAACTCAGGATTATTCTGAAAAGTTGGTGCCTTGGATAATTAGTTGTGTTCTAGCGACCTTAAATATTCTCAGTGTTGCGACGTTGCCACTTATATTGAAAAGTATCAACAACTTTGATTTTTTAAACGGGACACCCTGTATATTATTCCATTTTCAGATTCTGCCTGAAGAGCTGATTTCATCTATCTATCACACTTAGGGTCTAGCGGAAATGATAAAGATATAGGGTGTGAAAAATCGAGATTTTTCAACTTTAAGAATTTTTTGTGTCGAAACTATTCATCATTGGTTAAAACAGTTTCCATGTCCCTATCTCAACTTTCACAATCAGTTGATATTTGATTGAAATAGATACAGGGTGGTCAAAAATCTCAATTCTGAACCACCCTGTGTTGGGGATATCGACATGAAAACCGTTTTGATTGATTATGAAAAAATTTCTAAAGTTGAAAAATCTCGATTTTTCACATCCTATTTATTACTGCTAGACCCCAAGTGTTTTAGGTCAATAGAATCAGCTCTTCAGGGAAAATCTGAAAATGGAATACAGGGTTTCCCATTTTAAAATATCAAAGTTGTTGCTACTCTTCAATATAAGCGGCAACTTTGGAACACAGAATATTTAAGGTCGATAGAACACAACTGATTACCCAAGGCACCAACTTCTCAGAATAATCCTGAGTTGCGTTCAATTAGTGTTTCAGGAATGTTGTTTATCATATTGAAATTACAAGCAGCGATATAAGCAGCAATAGAATACTTGTCTCGCTCTCATTATACATTTTTCTATACCGAAATGACTCTCATGTATAAGTTTCAACATATTATTATCTTTCCTCAAAGTTTTAGGCACTACCAGTTTGGAATTGAAGAAAAGCAGATCATCTGATTCAATCAGATTTTCTTTCAATTTGAAATAGTGTTTCAAATCACTTGACAAAGTATTATGATATTTTTTAACTTCAGATAAAACTCTGCATCTTCACTGGTAGCACTTTTGAAAATATTTCTTTTTTCTGACGTTATTGGTAAATGCAATGCTAATGTATGAACAAGATAAGTCATTTCAGGATCATCCGAAACGAATATGCATCTAAGAAGGATCTTGATAGAGTATCAGCGACATTCATATTCTTTCCTGGTACATAAACAATGTTTAAACTATACTTTAATAATCTTAGCAACATCCGTTGTAATCTTGTTGAAACACTATCAAGATTTTTGTTAAAAATCGATTAAAGTGGTTTATGATCTGAATGAACGATGATATCTCTTCCATAAATATAATAATTGAATTTTTCACAAGCAAAAACGATAGCTAGAAGTTCTTTCACAATTTGAGCATATTTTTTTTCTGCATTCGATAGGGAACGAGACGCATAAGCTATTGGATTTTCTTGTAGTAGACAACAATTTAAACCTTCACTTGAAGCATCAGTCTGAATGATTATTTCTTTATTACTATCAAATATTCCTAATACAGGTTCTTTCGTCATAATATCTTTGAGATTATTCAATTCTTGCTCATGGTTATCAGTCCATTGCCACCTAACTTCATTTTGGTTAATTCTCTCAAATTTGTAGTTAGTCGTGATAAATTCGGAATAAATTTGGAGAAAAATTTTGTTAATCCTAATATTCTCAACAATTCATTTTTATTAGAAGGACTTTTTACACTCAAAAAGCCTCAACATTTTTTTTATCTGGTTTTATACCATTTTCAGATATTATTTGACAGAGAAAAATAGCATGACAAGCTTCAAGTCAAAAGACACGATCGATACGGCATTCATTCCATGTAACTTATGTTTAGTAACCATTTCACTAGGGAAATGACGCGATATCACTGCTCAACTTTGAACAGTGTTGCCAATATATTTTTTCTTTACGAAAGTTTCACCTTCAACTTCCATCCACCACCACACAACAACCCCCTAAACTCCCCACCAGCACCACCAAAGAGTTCATTTTCGAGATATTTTTGCTAAATAGGAATTATATTCAAGAGATATTTTGTTTTTTTAATGAAATATATTCATAACAATGCTATGTATAATGTATACTCTTTGAAATAATTTATTTATTGGATTACTTGATCACGAAACTGATACTTATGTACCCAGTGTGCTCACGAGCGGGTTACTTGGAACATCAATAATTTTTTCAAATATCTTCCTAACGACTGAACCGGCGAAGATGAATATTTGTATAATTATAGTAAGTCAACTCATACATCTATTATGATAGGAAACATTCCCTACCATGAACAATAACTTCACTATACGTGTATTTGAATCAAGATATTCCAAGCATCCCCATTCTACGGTATATGTTGGTAAGTTTTATTTCTAACTATTATGTGTTATATTTGTTGTGTTGTGTTCTCATCTATTTACTTTCATTATGCTTGAATAAAATGTTATCAATCTACATGGAAGCTATAAATATATACAGGATGTCCTATATACCGGGTGACCCGAAACAATTTACCCCTCTGTATCTTCGTTACTATTTTGGATGGATGTTTCAAATTTGGTACATCAATTTGATTTCATGAGTGTATACATATAATTTCGCTAGTATCAGACTACTATCATGTCATCTGAAATCCAATGTCATTATTTTTTGTGTTCTGTTCCCACGAAAAGGGATGTTCTGGTTCCCACAAAAGGGATATCCTGTAATGTTCAGAGAACATCGTGAGAACCAAGGGAAGGTAGGAATTGGTGTTCTTCTTAAATTTCTGGAGGTCATATGCCTCAGGGAACACCTCCCTTGGCAATGTGTTCCAGAGCCTCGCTGTTCGTTGGATGAACGAGTCTTTGGCAAAAGATGTTCTGCAGGTCTCCAAAGTGACCACGAAGGGGTGCGAAGCCTCACTTCGACGGGTTATTGATCTTGCGGGGACTACCAAAGGGGGGTACAATCGTTGATAATTCAGAAGAGCATCGTCGATGAAAATATCTATAAAATAGAGGCAGATCGCCAACTTTTCTACGGTATTCCAGAGAAGTGAGTGAGTTTGTGAGCGAGGCATCACCCACGAGACGAATTGCCCTTTTTTGGACAGAATCCAACAGTTTCAGGTTATGTTTGGGTGCTGCACTCCAATAATGGGAACAGTATTCCAGAACAGGTCAGATCTGTGTCTTATAGATCATAAGCAGCTGACTAGAAGTGAATTCGCAAAAAGACCAGGAGGCTGAGGTGTAGCTGTTGACAGGTCGAGACCTTTATAGGGATGAAAACGTGATAGATACGTGAAGAAAAGTGGTTCTTCCTATCTGCATATGGGGGGGATATATACTCCTTATCCCCGTGTAGGTACGCCACTGGTTTCACCTAGTATAGACTCATGTACCAAAAAACAGCAATGTCAAGTACATGAAGAAACTCAAGTATAAACAAGCGGTGCATGGACATATTTCTCTTATCTATATTTATATTGTGCAAATAATGACGAGTTATACTAATATACCTAACATAAAATCTAATTTTGAGCTGTTTCCAGTTCAAAAAAACTGCTGCAGGTGCACTTTGCATTATTTGTCTCAATTAAGTAGGTAACTAATCAGTCAGAATGGACAGAGTTCTCGAAGATCTCAGTCGGATTTCGCTAAATGAAGAGGAAAAGCGAGAAGAATTCGCTCCCATAGAAATAACAAAAGATCCTACATTGGTGAGAGATTTGTTCAGTCATAGCAGGATGTATGACATTTGGTATGATGTGGATTACGATACACCATATACTCTGGTCGAACTAGAGCCGTATACCCAAGAGTATGAAAACATTGAAAGCAAGTTCAAAAATGATTTATCTGCTGAAGTGCTCAGGATCCTGAGAATCCAGAATCCATTTCTCTGTCTCCAATACGAACTCAAACTGAAACAAATGGAAGAACTTCATGGTAGTATCGAGGAAAATCAGCTCTATCATGGCACGAAGAGTGAAAATGTATTTGCCAAAGGAATTTTGACTGGCGTAAACTTGGAGCTAGTGGTTATAGGTCGAGCAAATTTGGCCAGGGAGTTTCGTTCTCACCATATTCTCATTATGCATCAGGTTACCCAAGACGTTTTTCTGAAGAGCCAAGAGTTATGATTTTGGCAAGAGAAATGGAATCATCTAGGTGCGAGGGTGACGATTTCATGGAAATTCCGCCATTACCTCATGATACTTCTGCGGATCTCGAGCATGGTAATGTGGTTGTGAAATATTCCGATAATGAGTTTTATCCAGAGTATATCATATATTATATCAAGAGCAAGTAAAGATAGATGTACACCTTTCTCCATATTTAGATTTTAATATATTTTTTCTGGGAAAAAACTTTGAAATTTAATCTCAGTTGACAAGTTATGAAATGTCACTTTTCATAAATTACTTTTTTCCCGAATATATCACATATATACAGGGTGTCCCAGAATAAACGTTGTTGTAACCCTCACTATATTGATGATGTTCAGATTAGACAACCCATTAATTGTGACATACTGTGAGAGATGAATAAAGTCATGTCCTTCAAGACGTCAATGTTTTAGTTCCAACCAGTAAGTATATTACAGGCGGTAAATCTGCAGATGAAAAAATGATGGAAATAAGTAGATGGTGTACTTACTGATGCGCTTTTGTTCCAGAAATTCTTCTCGACCTTCCGAGAGTCCCGAGAACAATGTTTTCAGCAGCTTTCGGATAGATGGCGACATTGCACAATTATGACGGAAAAATGTAGAACCGACGTCTCGGTCGATGAGACGTAGAGAAATCATAGCAGGCGGTCGAGATTTCAATACATAAAAATAGCCGAGTACGCGCACCATCTACTTATTTACATCATTGATGAAAATAAGAAGAAAATTGCAGCCCTCTGAGAATAGATTAGAATTATCTTTGTGACCAGTGATCTTAGAATCACAAAATTTGGTACTGGAAGGTAATTCCTCCTTGACAATCGTTTCATGGTAAGGAAAAATGATAGAACATACAGGGAGGTGCGAAACTTGTAACCGATGCAACGCAAATAACCCATTATTTTTTTCACGAATGATCTCATTTTAATTATACTAGAATGTGATTCTTCAACACTTTGACTGCCATGTGTACCATATATGGACACAGGACATTTCAATTCTCTGCCATGTGTACACATATTGGACACAGGTATAGAAAGATTCCCGGTCATGTGTGCGTGGCTGGTACACACCCAGTAAACCATTTTGTGTTTCTGAAACAAACTCTGAAATATGAAACATTTCACCTACATACTCCGTAACATTTATGAGACATTCTAGAGACCATGAATGACCTAGGGAGTGTAATGTTTCATTGGAATGTTTCAACCCAAATCTCCATGAAACATTTAATGAATAGTATACATAAACATCTTTGAGATATTTCACTATTGCAGTTCATGAAACGTTTCACAAATAGTGTCTTTGCAACATTTCCGATACATCTCACCCTAATTAACATCGTGTGCAATGTACTCAATTGGTATTGATATAGGTGTTAAGCCTTAGATTAAAATAAGTTATTTTTTCATGCATTTGTTTTTTTTCTATATATTTTATTCCCGGTGATGCAATACCGTTTTCATAATTTGAACTATCATATTTTGTTTCTCGCGACCTTGCCTTAAACAGCTCGAAATGAGTGAAAACCTACATAATTTTTTGTACTCGGACCGAGTGATAAAAATCGTAAACACACCTGAAAGAAGATCGAACGAGAGAACAGGATTAGTATCGTTTTGGCTCCGCAGGCATATATTCTAGTTTTGTATGCCTCAATAGATTTCGCTTCGCCGGTTTCACGGGAAATTTATGTGAAATGGTTTTCATTGTTTTGGTTCCTATCTGAACTACTTTGTGAGTGTTGACATAGTTGGAATATCGCCGACACGCAATTACCTGGATTATCCTGGAGGGGGCCCCCAGCACACTTCCGCAACCAGAGAGAACTCTGAAGCATCCAGAAAGAGCCTCAAAATTCAGGACTTCGAGGTAAGCTGTTTAAGGATTCGATATCTTATTCATACTCATCTCAAGCTTACGGATTGCATCTCCGCCCTTTCGCCCCAATCACTAATTACTAATGCGCCCCTATGGTGAAAATCTATTTATCTCTCATTTCTGAGATTTTCGAATTGAATTACGCACAATAGGTATATGGAGAAAAAAGCAGGGTGAATAAAATAAAACTGCAGTTTTAGTGGATTTTATACTATGAAAGAACGTATGATGGAAAACCATTTCATTTGATATTCTCCTTTTCTCTGGCTAACCTGAGAGCAGATTGGCGAAAACAAGCTGATACATATTTTTCAAATTCCATATCCGTAACAGCCCAGCCAACCATCGTGTGACATCAACATCTGTGTGATGTAACAACCTTGCATAAATGCAATATCTCGTTAACACATCTTATCGACGTAGATTCGATATCAACGTCGCAAGGTGTCATCGCAACCAGAAAACTATGTAATGTGGCAGCGACTTCTTCGAACTACATCTCTTCGACGTTAACTAAATAATTCACATTGATATCCTCATGAGATATCTTTGTGACCTGTGAGTGTGACGCAGACATGCGCAAAACGAACGCACACGCCAGACGCCATGTTGAGCTGTGCCATGTCAGTCAGTCAGTGAGTGAGTCCGACTCCATACAGACTATTTCCGTTGATTGATATATTAGGCTTACGCTGGGAAGATAATGCCCAACCTGTGTTATTTGCGAGTCGATGCCCCTCTCATCCCCTCGTCTATCGTTTAGCCACTGTGAGGTAGCGACTCCACTAGGCACACAGAACATGTCTGAACTAATTGTACAGATTACTACACTTTTGTACAGAATTACAGATCCCATCTCACCGCGTGCTATCGCTCCAGAAATTTTTGTTTATCCTTGTCTTCTACGATGAGACCCGACCCGCCCGACCGGTGCCGATTTATAAATGTTTGCTACGGTCGGTGAATCCCATGGACAGTATTGATTTTTCCCTCGGTTCCTTGCGGAAGAGAGAAGAACATATTATGATCTCTCACTCAGCTGGGTTCCTACTCCGTGGCGTTTTTTAAAATTCCCTTGTGAATAACTTTGCTTAGACCCTAGACCAATATAATTTGTATATCTGGAAAAACATCCCACGCCTTTTTCGTTGATTATTATTTTTACTCAATTTGTATCCATTTTAAAGTTTTGTATTAATAAGACATTACAAAATATTGATAATATATATAATCAATCTGAATGTGATAATTTCTTAGAGTTTCATCAGTAGATAAAAATAAATAGTCATATATCTTTGAATCTTTGATTGTTAATGGTTCACTATAAAAATGAAATAAAATACATCATCTATGATAGGCATAATATACAGAGTGAGTCATAACTATCGGAACATATATAGAATCCATTTATTTATTGGATTTTACAAGAGTTGATGCTGCAAGCTTATGAACCATATTTTACAGTATCTAGTTGTTGAAAAATATGAATTCTTTTTTGGCATATTTGAAGAGATGAAAACAAAATCAACAGAAATCAGCTACATTTCCAGTCTATATGCCACGATATATAATCATGAAATCGGCGTTGATATTTTGTGATACCAGTAACTTTTTCTGAGTAGAATCGATTTTGCCGCTCCAGAACAACGGAGTACAGACTACGGAACGCTCAGAATCTCCGCCCTAACAACACAGGGATGTACTAGGTACTTCCCCTCTTTGTCACACGGTACAAGGACATAATTGGGGTATCCAGGGGATGTCCCGCAGTGGTTGTCCAGTGGACATCTGGCCCCGTACATCCATAGGTTATCCAATTCGTGTCCTTGGTATATCTGATATCTATTCACATCAGAGTCATTGACTTTCATCAAAATATTGAGTTGAATTTTTATGAAAATGTTTGGTTTTTTTCCGGTAAATAATTGTAATGAAAATAAAGAAAGTCAGAACTTCTCAAGAAATGACCATTTTTCGCAAACAGAAATCGTAAATGCATAATGCCCCTCATTTTTAAACATCCACGAATGATAATAATTATACCCAAATCCTAACAAAGTTGTATTTATTCAGGTTTCTGCAGTTTGGTCCTGTTTAAAAATCTGTTTGGTACATAAATCTTCAGAAGGCATATCAGCCAATGGAGTAAGGTGCGTGCCTGAAGAAGCTAAAGGTCCCGGGTTTAAGCCCCACTCGACCTACATTTTTTCTTTTGTCGAAGGGATGTCCCTGGAATATCCTTGGGACCTCCTAGGGATATCCTTTCTTCGTACTTGGTACATCCCAGGGACGTACCAGACGAAAATCCCTTGGATGCTTTTTTTGTCAGCCAGCTGATGTCCCTGGGACGTCCCTAGTATGTACTCTGTCCCGACAAAGGATATCTCTGGGATGTCCTTGTATAAAATTAGGGACGTTCCTGGGAAGTCCCTAGGATGTACTTGTGTTGTTAGGGCGACAAACGACGGCTTGGCAGCCCTATCGCCGACAAACGCACCGAGTCGGCCGCCCCACAAAAATCAAAGGAAATTATTGGCACTCCAAGTTTCGGCAATACATAGGTCGGATCATATACCAGTATAAAATACTTTGGATTGATAGCGGTATAGAATTGTCACGCAATGTTCCGCGTTCTTCATGTGATAAATAATTTCAGTAATTTCAATCATAAAAATTTCAAAAATTGTACATAGCTCTGACAAGAAAATGATTTGCGACAGTGAATTATCGTTTGATTTAGTAATTCGACATAATGAAATATGAAATTCCACTCAAACAGACCCATTTAGATTCAGTTCTAGGGTAAAATACACTAAGGTGACAACACTGGTCCGGATTCGTGAATTTCAATCAAATTTATGAGCAGCTTATATATTGATATCCGCTGACCAGTTTATTCCACAATCGCCAAAAATGGAAGCATTTATTGTTGAGACATTAAATTTTGTGATTCACTCCAATTCGATTTCTATAAACTTTTTTCATGATTTCACGTCCGTGATATATGCGCTCGTTAGAAGAACATCCAGTACAACTATTACTAACAAATTCGAATTTACCGCCATATTAGTTAGAATCGTACAGATTGAT